TCAACCCCCCCCCCCCCCCCCCCCCTCCCACCCATCCATGTGAACGTTTTTTGTCGGACCGAATCTCAGCGTCAACGGGGCTCAGCGACGTATTAAGACAAACGACATACCCCTCAAGGCTTGCAGGAGCAACCAATGACCCCCCATCCCCCCCCCAGCCCCCAGGTGTTTGCCATCGGGATTGGGTTTTCGTCGCTTGGCAACGACGTTGTAAAACAAGCCAATTCACTTCGTGGACTCGGCAACCAGGTTACCGGGTTTTTTTTTTTGCTCCGTTTTTTTTTTTGGCGGCAACCATAGTGGTGGTCGAGTAGATCATGTTGTGCGGGGTCGAGAACCCTCACTCCGCGCAAGGGGGATGATCGCATCACGTTGTGTTAAAATGGTCAAGCACCCTCGAGGTAGTTTCACAGTGCTTACAACTGTCTCAGGAAGCGAAAGCACCAGAAAATAAATTAAGTCATACGCAGCTGTCATCCGTACGCAAGAAAGTAAGCACAAGATGCCGAAAACCCTTAGCAGGATGCAGNCCCCCCCCCCCCCAGCCCCGCTCTCACTTGCCGAGGATAATGTTACGTGTGCGTTTCACGGGACTCACGACGCTGGCGACGGTCGTATTCTCGTCGACTCTTGGAGACTAGACCTTAACCATGGACGCAACTACCCCTGCCCCCCGGACTTCCGAACACGCAGGTGTTGGGCATCACGTTCATGCTCTTTGTGACAGTGTCGGTGCTGCAGCTGAGGGAGGTGGTGCACCCGGACGTGCTCTCGCTCATCATCAGGCCGCAGGAGCCGCACCCTGACCTGCTGGGCTCGCTGCTGCAGGAGTCCGGCCGTACGCACGCGCGCCGGATGGCCATGAGTCTCGTGAGTGTGCACTACGCTACGCTACGCCACGCCAAGCCACACGATGCGTGCATCTGCGTGTGACTTGTGTGTGTGCGTGTCTTAATTATTGTTAGCATCGACCGCGCTAACCGGCTACCCGATGAAAGGACGTCAGTCTCAGTGTGGTTGAAATCACAGAACACTTCTAAATGTCATTCACTGGCAAAAGTGTGTGTGTGTGTGTGTGTGTGTTTCGTCGTTAGAGTTGCCGCGCTAATCGGTTGGCCAGTGAAAGTTACGTCAGTGCTTTGTCGCAGGTAACGTGTGCCACTCGTGTGCCGCTCGTGACCCACCCATGTCGCTCTGCCGATCGTCTGTTTCGCCCAACGCCCTTTTTTGACATGGTTTCGGCAGGCGATTTACCTGGCCCTGGTGTTGATGTTCGTTTGGGTGCCGACTAGGCTAGTTGGCACGCTCTTCCCGGCCGTGATGCCCGTCCAGGTAAGGGGTGGTGAAAGGCGGTGTGCGCATTATGTATACGGTAGTGCAGCCCCTGTCTGCGAACGAGGACGACGGGGCTTAGCACGGGGGTTGCTAAGTATGCGGGGGCGTGCACACGGTCTCTGCTTCGCCGCCATACTTGTGTGACGGGTTTTGGAGGTTGCTGTTGCTGGTTGCAGTTGTGCGTATGGTAGCTGTTGGTCAGAAGTCCAGCCGGTAACGCTGACGTGCCGAGTGGACGCAGACCTAAAATGCGATAGTACAACTGAGGTGCCGGCGAGGACGGCCACGACGAGCGTAGCAGAAACACTGGCGTTTTTGTGCGATGTTCCTAACGGTAGTGACGATGTCATCGGTCAACATGGTGGTGTCGCCACGCTTGGCTTGTTAGGTAGAAGTGAAATGCTACGTAGTTCCTCCGGGAGTTGGCAAACCCTAACATGTACGAGTTGGCCCGACCGTCGGACCCGTGACCTTTTTCTTTGTTGTCTTCGCTGTTTATCGATGTACCTTGCTTTGGCCCCCTTCCCCCGTCGTGGTGACCGACCTCGCCTCACCTCGGTACTCTCTTGGGCGCACACCAACAACGACGACGACGACGACGATGACATGGGTGACGGATAACGTCGATCACACGACGGCGGTGGACGACGCCGGCCCAGTTGGAACTCCGGTACGGTATGCCGCAGCTGCAGATCCCGGTGGAGCTGGTCATCCTGCACCTGGCGATGCTGGCGTTCCTCGAGAAGTACCAGGTGAAGTCACCCGTCCGAGCAAATGTCCCGAAGCACGGAGCTTCATGGCTGTACGGCTGTACCGCGTTCGTGGTTCGTTCCTTTTGAGACTGTGGCTTGGGAGTGGGTTGGGCACTAACCAGAAGTGACGAAAGCGGTGGAAGTGGTGGGTGACGGGAAGGTTGCGGTGTTGGGTGGCTCTTTTGTCATGAACGATGAGTTGCGGTTATTTTTCGTCACAAACTTGCAGTTTATTCTCACATAGCTTCCGCGCGTTAGTACAATTTCATCACCCTTGTTTCAAGCCTTCCTCTTGCCTACGGAAACGGGAGGGGATTTAATCCGTGTTTGTTTTTAGAAGCAATCTGCACTACACGTTATTATTTCTCCTTTCCTCTCGTCTCTTGTCCCTCCTCTCCGGTGCACTGTCCTCTCTTCTTCCCGCACATTGACTTCGCTAACTCCCCCCCCCCTCTTCCACGTCCGCCTCCCCCAACCTCCGACGAGCAGAACCGCATCGGGGAGATGCAGCACACGTGGCTGGTGGCTGTGTGCGGCCGGCTGGGCCTGACGCGCTTCGTCCTGCCGCAGCCGATCGTTGCCCGCTTGCCCCGCCCAGGCCCTCCACCCACCACCTTCGGTTTCTCTACCTTCGATGACGCCGATGGCGCTGGGGCCGGTTCTGCCGCCGTCGCCGCCGCCGAGGCCAACGGGGCAACGGCCGCTCCCGGCTCAACCCTCCGGCGACGCTCGGTGTCCTCGCGAGGGCTAGGCGCTTCGGGTGGTGGGGGAAGTAGCACAGATGGTGCCGATGACGAAGGGACCGAACAGGGGGAGGGCGGTGGCGGCAGAGGGTGGGGCGCGGCGGTGAAGGCTTGGTGGGACGGAGGAGAGGCGGGCAAAGATGAGGAGGTGGGTGCTGGTGGTGGTAGTGGTTGGTTTGGTTTGGTTTGGGCATGCATTGTAATTTTCGGTGTTTGGTTTTTCGTGGAGTTTGGTGTACACTCGAGAAGGCCGCTGGTGGTGTAGCGAAACGTTTGTACGCGATCTCACGGCCGCGTTGTGCACCGAGCTGAAAATGTGGAGGATGGTGAGGAGGGTGATGGGGAGCGGAGTTTGATAGGCAGCACGTCGTGGTGGGAATGGCCTTGACATGGCATCGATAGAAACGGAGACAAAAGTAATGTCATGTCCAGCCCGTCGTTTGGCATGAGCGCCATGTGTGGCGGTCGCGTTCATTCTTGGTGTTCCTTGTTTCCCGGTCGCCAACACCAACGGCCCGCGTAACGATACGCTGAACCTATGGTGTCTTTGTTGCTTCTTCCCCCTGTCGACAGGAGGGTATCATCGTAGGGCCTCCGTTGCGGCGCCCGCCCCCCGGGTGGGACGACCCCGCCGGCGTGGCACAGGGTAGGTGGGCGTGGGGCGCGGAGCCCCCCGGAGAGGTGCAGCTCAACCTTGCGCCGAGGTGAGGATATGGTGTTTTTGGTTCGATTAGGCTGGAACCTCTGTTATCGGTCGATGAAGGCGGCGTCAGAAACCAACACGACGTAAACACAGAAAAAGAACGACGATGACAAAATATTATTGGCCATACTTGAAAAAATAGCCACGCGTCTTGGCGGGTTTGATGTCGTTGTAGTACAGCAGTGCGGTTGTATGATCTTCATGGTTATATTTTGATTTTTTTTTTTTTGTGGTACTGCTGTATTTATTTATCTTTTAAACGCGGTCAGGCGGCGGCACGGCGCGCGCGCGGTCCCTCTGGTGGCGGTGCTGCTTCTGGCTGCGTGGGCGACGGTTCTTGTGGCCGCTCTGTGCCTCGTAGTCCTCCCGTTCCTGCTGGGACGCCTGCTGTTCTCGCTAATCCACCTGCCTAGGCGCTGGACGCACGACACGGCCAGCTTCGCCGTGGGATTGACTCTACTAAAGGTGTGCCAGGTGGTTGCAATGCTGTCAGGGAGGGGGGGGTTGGTGCGTGTCCTTGTTCGTGTGCGTGCTTCTCTGGTGTGGGGATGCGGTGTGAGGGGG